TGATTTAGTGTTGTTTTTTCTATTTTCAACTAGTGATATCAAATATCGATATTAAAACTTAAATAAAGTGTTTATTTTAATAGATTTTAGTATTTCAGTATGCCCAATACTCGTGATATTGCAGAATGTTATTCACTTTAAAAATATTATTCGTTATTTCAATAAAATATCATTATGCTAATACTTGGATCATTATGTTATTTAAGTGATATTAAGTCGAATTTTGTGTGAACTATAGCCAAATGCCATACACTTTAAAGTTACTAATTCATTATTTTATAAATATTGTAATGCTGATATCTACATATGACGATATATAATGATTGTTGTAAATTATATATATCAATATGCTGATATTTTATTTTTAGCGCTATAAAGCCGAATGTTATACTTTAATAAGAAGCAATATTTATCTCTTTTATAAATATCATTATGGCAATATTTATTTTGCTGATTTTTAATTGATTTAAAAACGAATGTAGTCTTTTAAAAATTGCAATATTCGGAATTTATACAAATATCGAAATGCTGATTCTTGTTAATTTTGCTGAATATTGTGACTAGAAAAACTATAACATTTGGCATTTATATTAAAATTTTTTTTCAAAGTATTATCATTTGCCAATATTTTTTAATACTTTATCGTCATATGCCAAATTTTTGCTGATTGCTGCAGTACTGAATATTCCTATTTTGACTAGTGATATCAACTTCAGAATGTGTTGAATTCTTAATTAAATCATCTAAAAATATACAGTATTTTACACCTGTACATGTTTGATAATATTTTTTTACTGTACAATTTAAATAAGGACACCAAATTAGCTTTTCTCCACTACCCATTGGTTTTCCAGTCATATATTGCATCTTAAAAAAAATATTAATATAAAATATAAAAGTTTAATTTACTTACTTATAGAATAAACTAAATAAAATTACTTACATTTTCAAATTCTGCATCATATGATTCCCAATTTTCTATATTGTAACAAATAACAATATCTTCAGATGATATAGGTGGATATTCTATAGGAAAAACTATATGCTGAATTTCATTTACTCTTAAGCTTTCCATTATTGAATAAATTTCATTAATTTCAATATGATTAGTATCTATAAGATCAATATCTTTAATATTATTATAATTAGTATCTTTAAAATTTTTATAACTAGTATCTTTAAGATTAAAATAATTAATACCTTCAAGATCACTATAATTAGCATCTTCAGTTTCATTATAACTAATATCTTCTATTTTATTATAATCAGCATTATCATAATTAAGATCTTCGATTTTATTATAATTAGCATTATTATAATTAAGATCTTTGATTTCATTATAATTAGCATAATTAAGATCTTCGAAATCAGTATCTTTAGCATTTTCAATTTGATTATAATGATTACTATAATCGATATTCTCAATTTTATTCTAAAATTAATTAAACAAATAAATTATATAATAATATAAGTATCATCAAAAAAAATTTAATATTAAACCTATAAATTTAATAATAAGTTAAAATATACAAACTTTGGAATCATTATTTAGTAATCTTTCAATACTTGATGTTAAATCATTTACTGAATTTTATCAAATTTATCCTTAAAATTTGAATTACTTCCTTCACCATATA